CATGGCCACCGCAGTGTCGACCTGCTGGGCTCCAGCGATTCTTTCGCCTCAGCCTTCCAAGTGGCTGGAACTACAGTTGCGCGGTACCATGCTAATTTTTTATTTTATTGTAGAGACAAGGTCTCGCCAAGTTGCCCGGGCTAGTCTTGAACTCGTGGGCTCAGGCAATATATTTACTTTGGCCTCCCAAAGTGCTGGGATTACAGGCTGACTGACCTATTTTTAAAATATAACATTAATATGACTTTTAATGTCAGGGTCAAGGGTAGATGTTTTCTTGTAATATATCTATCTGAACACCTCATTTACTCATTCAAAGCATTTATTAAATGCCTACTTTGTGGCAGGTATGGTTTCAGGTGCTGAGGATACAGCAGCGAGCAAAACATGAAACTCACAGTCGAGGGAGAGAGGATAATGAACAAGGTAAATAACACATCAGAGAGCAATGTGCTATGGAAGAAAATAAAGCAGAAAGGGGAGGCATTTGGAGAGGGCTGTGAGTTTAAATAGGGTAGTCAGAGAAGGTCTCACTGAAGAGATGACATTTAGTAAAGAGCTGAAAGTGAGGGAGGAAGTCGTGGATATATGAAGGATGAGTAATCCAGGTAGAGGGAACAGTAAGTGCAAGGATCTGAGCAGACACATGCTGGGTGTCTCAGGTCAGCAAGGAGGTAAATATGGCAGGACAGGAGTGAATAAGGAGGACAGCAATAGAAGATGAAGTCAGAGAGCAGTACCAGGCAGCCAGAACAACAGGCATTTATGATGATTTTTTTTTTTTTTTCTTGAGACTGTGAGTTAAGCCAGGTGGAAGTTGTGAGGGTGCTGAGAAGGTGTAGGATTTTGGATATGTTTTATTTATTTATTTTTTACTTATTTATTTATTTGAGTTGGAGTCTCACTTAGTCGCTCAGACTGGAGTGCAGTGGCCGCTTATTTATTTATTTTTTGAGTTGGAGTCTCACTCTGTCACCCAGACTGGAGTGCAGTGGCCACTCCTGGTCACCGCAACCTTGACCTGTTGGGCTCCGGCGATCCTTTTGCCTCAGCCTTCCAAGTAGCTGGAACTACAGGTGTGTGCTACCACGCCCAGCTAATTTTTTTTTTTTTTAGTTTATTGTAGAGATGAGGTCTCGCTAAGTTGCCCAGGCAGGTCTCAAACCCACGGGCTCAGGCAATCCACTCACCTAGGCCTCCCAAGACGCTGGGATTACAGGCTGAGCCACTGAGCCCAGTCGGATATGTTTTATTTTTATTTATTTTTTGAGTTGGAGTCTCTGTCGCCCAGACTGGAGTGCAGTGGCCGCTTTCGGCCACCGCAGCCTCGACCTGCTGGGCTCCGGCGATCCTTCCAAGTAGCTGGAACTACAGGCGCGTGCTACCATGCCCAGCTCATTTTGATTTATTGTAGAGATGAGGTCTCACCAAGTTGCCCGGGTGGGTCTCAAACCCGCGGGCTCAGGCAATCCACTCACCTCAGCCTCCCAAAGGCGCTGGATTACAGGCTGAGCCACCAAGCCCAGCTTATTTTTGAGTTGGAGTATCACTCTGTCACCCAGGCTGGAATGCAGTGGCACACTTATGGCTACCCCAGCATCAATCTGCTGGGCTCCGTGATCTTTCCACCTTAGCCTTCCAAGTAGCTGGAACTATAGGTGCATGCTACCATGCCTGGCTAATTTTTTCTTTTTAAAGTTGGAGTCTCACTCTATTGTCCGGGCTGGAGGGCAGCGGCGTGCTCACGGCCACCACAGCCTTGACTTGCTGGGATCTGGTGATCCTTCCGCCTCAGCCTTCCAAGTAGCTGGAACTACAGGTATGCGCCACCATGCCTGGCTAATTTTCTTTTAAATTTATTGTAGAGATGAGGTCTCGCCAAGTTGCTCAGGTTGGTCTCGAACCCATGAGTTCAGGCAGTCCTCTCAGCTCAGCTTCCCAAACTGCTGGGATTATAGGCGTGAGCCACTGTGCCTGGCCTTAAATTTTTATTTATTGTAGAGATGAGGTCTTGCCAAGTTGCCCGGGCTGGTCTCGAACCCTTGGGTTCAGGCAATCCACTTGCCTTGGCCTCCCAAAGTGCTGGGATTACAGGCTGAGCTCAGTTTGTTTATATATTTTGAAGGGTAATAGAATTGGCTGACTGATCAGACACGAGGTGACAAAGAAAGAGCAGAAGACTGTAGGAGAAGCAAGATTTGGGGAGGGGAGCTCAGTTTGTTTATATATTTTGAAGGGTAATAGAATTGGCTGACTGATCAGACACGAGGTGACAAAGAAAGAGCAGAAGACTGTAGGAGAAGCAAGATTTGGGGAGGGGACGTTCAGGAGCTTGATTTTAGATTAAGTTTGAAATAGCTATTAGACATCCAACTGGCTGTGTATACTAGGCAGATGGAAATATGATTTTGGACTTGGGGGATGAGTCTAGGAAGAAGATATAAACTTGGGAATTGTCAGAGTAGAGACGTAAAGAAAATCTTGATGCTGACAGAGATCACCATGTTCTGTGTGTCCTCCCATCCCTGCCTCTTCTACCTACTCCTCTGTATCCCTAAACCCAATAATTCCCTTGCAGATCTAAGGCCACACTATATGGTAGAAGAAGGCTGGGACTCTCTTGGCTTCTTAACACATTCACAGCCATTTGCTTAGAATTTCCAGGCTGGGATGGCTCATGCCTTATAATCCCAGCAGTTTGGGAGCCCAGGAGTTCCAGACTTTTCTAGGACACATAGTGAAACCTCAGCTCTACAAAAATAAAGAAAATTAGCCAGGCATGGTGTGTGCACTTGTAGTCCCAGCTACTTGGGAGGCTAAGGCAGGAGGATCACTTGAGCCCAAGGTCAAGGCTGTGCTGAGCCACTGATGGTGCCACTGCACTCTAGCCTGGGAGACAGAATGAGACCTCAGATCAAAAAATAAACAATAAAATTTCCAGTGCTTCATGTTTGGGCCCACAAGCAACAAAGCTTTAATTAGAGGTTTTCACATTAGGCTAGAGAATGTTAGACTTCTCCATCACCATGTGGATTTTAAAAATCACACCTCAGACAGAAAAGAAAACAATTGAGACTATTTCAAAGTTTTTCCACAAGGAATTCCGTGAGGACTTGTGGGCTCAAGTTCAGGTCCAAGCAGGACATTAACACACATGCAAGATGAACTTGGAGAGATAGGAAGAAGCGCTCAATATAGGAGACCCTAAGTTAGGGCGGGCACGATGGTTCAAGCCTGTAATCCCGCACTTTGCGAGGCGGAGGCGGGAGGATCCTTTGAGCCCAGTAGTTCGAGACCAGCCTGAGCTACATAGCAAGGCCCCGTCTCTAGTTAAAAAAGAAACGAAGGAAAGGAAGGAAAAGAAGGAAGGAAAGAAAGAAAGACCCTAAAGTATTCCTACTCTCGGCACAGGTATAAATAAATCACTTCAGAGATTTGCTTCAGCCCTTCGTGAGTCTCCAGAAAGCGCCAGGAGTAGTTTAAGAAGGCTGGGAGATGGCCGTTGGGAAAGAACGATCTGTAGCTGCAATACTTCATCCCAAGGTGGCTGTGGCTGCAGTTCCCTGGGCAGCAGACATCATGGATCTTCCTCCTCCTGGGAACCCGAGGTCCCTCCGTTTCTGGTCTGCAGCCCTAGAGACAAAGAGCCTCATTCTCTCCCATACAGTGCGAGGCCGCTGGGGAGGAGAGCGGCGGGGCTGACAACGCTACCCCCGGGAAGCCCACCAGCGCGGGGTCGGAGGGAGCACGGGTCCCGACCGGTGCGCGAGGCACGCGGGGCCCCTGCGGCGCGGGCCAGGCGGGGGCGAGGAGCTCGGC